TCATACATTTGCGCGCAAATTCATTTTGTACAAAGATGATGTTATGCCTGGTTTGATTATTCTACTTTATCATTACTCTCATATGCGTAGTACTTTACTCCGTATATGAAAAAAATTACCTATCACTATACTCTAACCCGCAATTGGTAACATAATGAAAAAGTACACAGGCACTATGTGTTTCTTTGGCTTTACCGGAAAATACTATTTTTTAGCCAGAGCGAAATAACAAATTTTATAGAATACAGCAAGCCAGAAGGAGTCAGTGCAATTTACATGCACATTTAGAAGACATAATATATTTATCCATCATGTAATTAAAGATGAGACATTTGAAGTAGTGTAGGATATTTCATGTAGGAGACATGTTTCATTTGAATTGTAATTAATTGGGATCATGAAATATAATTATAAATATATATATATATATATGTATTATGTGGTAAAATTGCAAATTTAAGTATAATCTATCCTTATGTGACCTAACTAATTTGTATATTCGTTATCATATTTTTGTGTTTGGTTTGATTCAAACATATCTACATCATCATGTATAAGTTTAGAATAGAAATGAGATATTTATGAGAGTCCTATTCTAAAAATATCTTTTGATAGTATGATTATTTCCATGTATAAATGACCATACAAACTATACGTTAATTAAACTATAAAGTGTCAGATTTGCATAACCAAAGGGTATTATAAATTGCAAGAATCATATGTTATGTGAAATTTATATGATTTATCATGATCTATACTGAATAAAAGAATAAAAAATCCTAAATTATAAATCATTAAATATTTATTACAACTACAAAAAAAATAAAACAATTCAATATATTCTAAATCTATTTAAATTCAATCATTAGATTTGAAAAAATAATTAAATTTTCCTTCTGATGAATTTATTTCAAGTGAACCAATTTTTTTAAAAATCAAGTAACAATGTCTCATTTATTTCAATGTAACTGTTTTTATAGATTTTTTTAAGATAAAAATACTCAATAAAGAGAAGAATTTGCTACTAATGCTGTATAATGGTTGTTGTGAAATCGGTTACAAACCTCACATATAAGACAAAATGAATTCTAATATTCCATTTACAAAAAACTTATATATATATATATATATACTTATTTATTTATTAAAAAACATGTGTTTGAGTTTTTTTCCCATAAATATCTGATTAAAATTTTTAACTCAAAAATCTATTCCAAAATTCTATATAGTTGGTTGTGAAATTTTTAATCCTTATGATCATAAGAGGAAAAAATTCCATACATAAATAAATTAAATTATTGTACTTTGGTTTTTTTAATTTTCGATTTCATTCCGTGAAAAGTTTCAGTCATTGTATTTTATATATTGATTCATTTTATATCAACAAATTCAAAACATAAAGTGAAAATAATTTGTCATCTAGTTATCATGCAAATATACATAACCTGTATTTTATATACGAATTTCAATCAAATTTGAAATTACTTTCTTGATGAATTGGATCTTTTTATTTTTTTTAAAAAATCATTTTTTAATGAAATTCAAAATAGAAATTTTAATTCATCAAATTTGAAATATTTTATTCACGAAATAAGAAAAATAAGAATTTTCACAATATTTTTCTGTTACAAAATGACATGTTATTTATTTTGTAAACATTTTATTCGTTCACGTTTGATTTAAAAACTGAAATCCTTTTTGTAAATATTGAATTTACAGGAATAATCTTTAAAAAAATAAATTTCAATAATCCATTTGTAGCTATACAAAAAAGTTCTCTTAAAGGAGTTTTGATTTCATCATGGATATGACTCTAATCTTTGATTAGTACAGAAAAATCATTGCATTATGTATTTTTCTGTTTTCTAGTCTGAAAATTTGATAAATATTATGATTTACAATTTTTTTTTATTCATATAGTGGTTTTTTCAATTTATTACTTACAATTTTTTTATGGCATAACGTTTTTTACAATTTTACTACATTTCATTTGTAGAACTTATAGATTTGGTGTAGCATTGGCCTATTGTACTCTCACGTGCCTAACTTCATTGAGCTAATCTTAAAGCTCAAGACTATCCAGAGCCAGATTATGTGGTTGATTTAGATGACATAATGAAGAGATATATACCCAATGAAATGTAGGTGCTGAAGCAATCGCTTCACCGCCCACTACTACTATTCCATTTCACAATTCCTTTTCTTTCCTAAGCACTTTCTTTCCCAAAGGAAGGAAGAATAAAACATTTTGATTATCACATACACACCATCAAACTCAACATTGTGACAGTCTCTGAAAGTTTCCGTGAGTATAATTCATATATGTCTGTATCTTTTTACCTTATGTAAATATGTGTTAAGTATTACATGTGATTGTCTTCAACAAACTACATTTTTGCCATTTGATGAGATTTTAGTTACATGTTTGTCTGTATCCTCATTGTTCATCTTAAAGATAGTGTAGATCCTTATGTTCCATTGACTATGTTGAAAGTACCAAATATAAAACATTTTGCTATCATGTTTGGTGTTTCATTTGTCACGAGAGCATGAGTTTTCATATAATTGAATAGTCAGTAGCCTTTGCAGTCTACTACGGTAAGGTTAGCTGAGACATGATTCTCATATTGCTTTGGTTAGAGGAAACTCAAAACTCATTCTTGCTTAATTTCCCAAACATTGTAGATATAGTACTTACCAAAGACATAGTTTTGAAAACAATGACAGTAAATCGTCACGGACAGGCGGCGATACAACGGAAAAAATATATGAAATTGTATGGATTTATTAATGTCGACTTGTACACATTGAGGTAAACTTATCAGCATCTCACATTTCACATATTTTCTTTACCATATTTTGTAACCTTTACAATATAATATAGTCTTTGTTCTACAAAGAACATCAATCAGTGAAATTTATTTATTATATTACGCTGTGTTATTATGTTATGTTGGATATGCTTCTTCTGATTATCCAATAACATATAGACAATATGAGCACAATAGTTAAGATATATTCGATGGAATAAATAATATTTCTCATAGATGCTTCTGGTAACTAGCCCCACCCCACCCTTCGGTTTCATCCTTATACAACTTGTCGTAGAATATACATCTGTATTAGCCATATTACTTGCAAATCTTAAAAAATGTCACTACACTAGGACGTCAACCAAATCTTAAACTTGCTACATCTGGAATATGAAAAGCAAGAACTAGAACTATCTAGAAGTAAACTACTGATACCTTAGGCTGATTTTCATTTTTGATCGGAGAACAATTTTCTTCAATGACGTGTAAAATGTAAATTTCTCACCTTGGAGAGTACCGTATGCATTTATGATAATGTTCTAATTGTTTGAACGTCCTGTCAAGACCAGAGTTTAGGATAGACAGAGGCATTATGCACGATGTTTTTCTACAAGTAGAGATTTGAAAATCACTTGTCAACATTATTTTCAATTACCGAAAAAGGAAGCACTCACAATGGATCAGGAAACGAGCTCGAACATCCTGTAATTGAACCTCGACACAAGAAAAATAATGTACTCTTGCATCTTCGCTGGTTAGATTTACAATTTGATTGCATTTTTCTAGGTTCGGAAGATGTAAATTGCTTGCTTTTTCGGTAATTTTTAAAAAGATACCGAAAAAGAAGAAGAAGGATCAGGTCATGATTGGGTCGCCGAAGGGGCCATACAGGGATGAAGGTATACATTTCAAATATATCTCTTGCAGATAGTCATATCTGGAAACGGAAAAACCTGTCACGGAAAAAAAGAAAGAAGAAAGAGGAAATACTTGCGATAGCGTAGGCGACAGAGGGAATCGCCATACGCACTATACATGCCGCGGAGATACGATACAGGTAAGATTTACAAGCCGATTCTTATTCTTCGTGCAAGTGGGGACAACATGGGATTTTCCTTTTAGCAGGCAAGACAATGCAACACTCGACACACCTGAATGAATGATAAAGCACACGTGGAATAGGCCGATACCGGGTCACTAATCACAGGAGCACTCCATCCGTCCTCGGGTGCCACGTCAAAGCAAGGGATCGGTAAATCGTATTGCGCAGACGGAAGCACGATTAGCGACGACTGAAGGCGCTAATGGGGCATTAGGCACATGGGGACGGAGCTAAAAAAGGGCCGCGGTGGTGTCACCAAGGTTCTTCGTTATCAACTTGCGCGGCCGACCGGATTAGATAGAGGACAAGGGGACTATACGGGGAGATCTACAAGGTAGAGCAGGGCAGCCGCGACTGTGGTGATGGAGCACGGATGAGGAAAACCGGCGGGCAAGGAACGAGAGGGCGAAAAGCGGTGGCGGTCGGCCCCAGCACGAGCATCATTCGATCAAGGAGAGCGAAGCAGCTGGCCGACGTGGAGCCGGATAAATTTAGTAACTGCAGATGAGGCGCTAAGATTCACCGCATCATAAAGACTCGCACACTTTGGCCGCGCCGGCCACCACCGGTTGAGGCGGTCGCGACCAGAGCCGTATGCGAGATATTCATTACCGGGGCGGGTCGCGGGTCCCTGGAATTTGTCCTGCCCTGCCCGGAGGTTGAGATCTACGTGGCCGGCGAGGTCCCGGGGGCTGGGAGCCCAGGAGCGCGTCCTCGACCGCCACGTAACCAAGAAGAGTGGGCCCGCGGAAGGTGAGAAAGTCGAAAATCGGAAGTCGGAGATCGAAACCCGACGCCGGGTCGGGGAAGCCGGCTGGAAGGCGCCCGCCCGCCCGCGCTGAGATTCGCGATGGCGAGTGATGCCGCGGCGTGCGATGGTGACGATCGTGGGGACCGCGCCGACGGGGCGACGTAACTAACCGCGCAGCGGAGGGTTAATTTGGCGGTGGTTGCAGGGGAGCCGATGCTTCTTCGGAGGGTTCCGGCCGACCCGAGCGTCGGGCCAGCGCCAATCGATAATATTATTATTAAAATTGCCCTCGCCCTCCATCCTTCGATTTCTTCTCCCCTCCCCTCGCTCCCTCGCGCCCTCCCCCGTCGCTCGCTCGCTCGCTCGCTGGCCGGAGCGCCTTCGGCCTCCGTCACGTCATTCATGCTGCGCGGCGCTGCTCGTCCGCTGCTGCGCGTTCACTACTTCTGTGCAGATTGCCCATTTGGCTGCTATGCCTTCACTCCCCGTCTCTGTCTCTGCATCTGCCTCTGTCTCTGTCTCTGTCTCGCTTCTCATCTTCTTCATCTTCTTCTCATCGTCGTCGTCGTCGTCGTTCTTCGGTCGAGCTTGCGAGCGAGCTCGCTTCTCTGTTCTTCGCCTGTGTGTGCCTTCGGCTGCTCCGCTTTGAAGCAGCAGTGGTGGGGGCTCGGGCCATTCTTTCGTTTTGCGTCGTCCGCCGGCGGGCCTGGCGGAGTTTTGTTCTCGCCTCTTGTATAGGACGTGCTGGCGTCGCTGCTGCACTCGTTCGGCCGTGCAGGCGCAGCAGCCGCATTGCGACCTCGCGCCATGCGTGGTTGACATTTTCGGGCGTTAGAAATGAGGCAGTGGCAGGAATTGTGCCGCGGATTTGTGGAGCGCATTGGTCGTCCGATCTGTTGCCCCATCGCAGCGACGGCGGCTTTTCTTGACTGATATTTCGGTTCTGCTCAGTCCCAATCGTCTGTTGCTCCCGCGGAGAGAGTGGTATCGAGTTTTTCCCGAGGACCGAGATTGACGCTCTGATCGAACCCTAGAGACAGCGAGAGGTTGGCCGAACGAGAGGCCGAGCAATAGAGAGATTGAAGACTTCGATGTGTGCACCTTTTTACCTGGCCTGGCCATTATCGGCTCGGTGCTAGCCGGAGGTGGACATCGCGCTGCTGCCTATAGAATTTTCGGCAGTGAGGACATGATCTCATTTGCCGGAGGCCCATGAAGAGGCGATTGAGTTGTACCAGATAGGACATCAAAAGCTAGGCATTGAGGAGCAAGCTGAGGTATGGGAGCGAGAGCAGGAGGTGCGTGGAGAGTGAAGAGTAGGAGGAGGAGGAGCCGGGGGAGGGAGGCCAAGGGGATACTGGGTTTAGGGAGGGAGGAATCGGACGTGTGAGAGAGGGAGTAAAGATAGAAGACGAGCACGAGGAGAGGACTTGAAGGAGGATGCACAAAAGAGAGGAAAGTGATGCTGGGGCCGGAGTTAGCTCGGGCTACCGTCGGCCCCCATTGGTGATAGCGCTCAGCAACGGTGCTTGGCACGAAGAATACCTTTCCACGCCTCACAAGCGGGTCAACAACTTAGATCGATTCCCATCTTTCAAAGAATCTCCTAAGGCGAGAGACAGGGACTCATTGTCACTGGACCGGTTTCCTTCAATCAAGAGTAGTGATCACCCTTCTCCCAAGGCAAGGGAGCCTTCGTCATTTTCCAATTTGAGGCCTGATTCAACAATGACGGTTTCCAAGCTCTGCAGGTCGCCATCGTCGCTATCTCGATCGCCCACCATAAAGTCCAATATAGATAGCCTGACGAACCTATCAGAGGCCGGCCGCAGTTATGACAAGAACATCGACTTGGTGAAAGAAGCTAGCAGGAATCGGGCGATTCTCATGGGAGACATGTCTTTCTCTAGCCCCAAGCATGCGCATCCGGTGGAGAGGAGGTTTGAATTGCAGGTCATACTACCACCTCTGGTTGTGGTCACCGTTCCCTTCGTTTGGTGGTATGTCAAAGGCAGTCCTTACTACCGATTGACGGGATTTCATACGGAGGAGATTGCGTTATGGTTCTGGTTCGACTTTCTGGCGCTGCTCATATTCTTCACCGCGCTCTTGGTTTCGGCCCGCCTTATTTTCCCTCAGCTGTCTCTAAGTTCCAGTGCTCCTCCGCTTTGCATTGTGAAAGCCATTCTGGGCCAGAGCTGGGGTAGCTTGAGCTCGAGCTGGCTCAAGCCTCTGGCAACTCTTCTAACCGAGGACAAGGATCGGAGGAAAAGTTCTTTGCCTGTGACACAGAAGAACAATCACGCTGTTACGTGGACGATCGGGTCGAGTAATAACAAACCCACCAAAGAACAATTCGAAAAGGAGAAATTGTATGGGGAAGGGGTGCAGACCTATAGCAACGGAGATGTCTACGAGGGAGAGTTCCACCAAGGACGTTGCTCTGGGAGTGGGGTTTACTACTTTTACATGAGCGGCAGGTATGAGGGCGAATGGGTGGACGGCAAGTACGATGGCTATGGAGTCGAAACGTGGGCGCGTGGCAGTCGATACAGGGGACAGTACCGACAGGGCCTACGAGATGGTTACGGAGTGTACCGGTTCTACACTGGTGATGTGTATTCCGGTGAGTGGTCGAATGGCCAAAGCCACGGTTGTGGTACTCAAACCTGTGAGGACGGCAGTCGCTACAGGGGCGAATTCAAGTGGGGCGTGAAGCACGGTCACGGATTTTACCACTTCCGGTGAGTTAGTTACTCTTGTCCCTGCTGTACTTCTTCATTATCTGTCCCTCTATTCGTATTGGTATGATCGACCGAAAACTGCCGCGATTGGAGCTTTCAAAATCCTCGTTCCAATTTGTTGTTTTTCCAGTACTCATGTCGAAGTTCTTGTCCAATTTGGCTAACGATTGACGATCACATGTCTTAGAAGCGCGATTGTGTTTGTTCTCGATTTTCCAAGTTTGTGCAACGGAATTTCACGTTTCACGCATCTTGCTCTTGCTTTCATACAACATCGTTTAGTATCCCGTCAGAGTGGCGGGCGTTTGTAATTTTGAGCCTTTCTGTAGCTGCTTCTGGGAGAGAACCGTCAATATGATGGAAGGAAGCGTGGAAGCTTTCTAGATTAATCGTGTGTTTCTCCTGTTGGTTGTAAGTTATGACTACTTTCTTCTTTTCTCACGTATATTTGAACTGGTAATTTACCAGTAAGACAATCTGTCTTATAAAGTCGGGTGTATAATCTGTTGCAGAGCCTGAGCTGGTCAAATAGTCGGTCCAGGCCGAAGTACTTGTTTGGTCTCGTCCTATATCTTGTAACCGTGCTTTTGTTGACGTTATCTCCCCTCTGTATGCACTTCGGCAGTAGATATTACTGTTGCAGAGTGTGCGTAAAGTTGTTAAAAGTAAATTGTTGTGGCCTGACTGAGCTTGTCAGTCAACATAGTGACGTCATGTACGGATTGGATGATTAATTTTTGCGGTGGATGTTGACACTTGCGATTAATATCCTGCTGATTAATCAGAAACGGAGATACCTACGCCGGGGAGTATTTTGCCGATAAGATGCATGGTTACGGGGTCTATCAATTTGCAAATGGTCATCGATATGAGGGTTCCTGGCACGAGGGAAGAAAGCAAGGTTTGGGGATATATACTTTCCGCAACGGCGAGACTCATGCTGGACACTGGCATCATGGAGTTTTAGAGACGCGCAGCTCTCAAAATCCAGCCCCAAATTCTCCAACTGCTGTGTATCATTCGAAGGTTCTGAATGCCGTGCAGGTTGGTGTTCTTTCCTTTCTTTTGGAGTGTATGTTCAGCTGGAGTAGGGAGACTCTTCGTAGAGAACAGAAGCGCAGAATGAGCACCTTTGTTAAGAATTTACTAGCTTTCTTGAGCCGATCAATCAGAATAGTAAAGTGAAGTATACATCTGCTGTAACGATCTAGCGGGCGATGAGCGTCAGGACGTCCGTACGAAGTGTGGCAGTCAATGTGGAAGTCACTTGAAGTCAATCAATCTACCTACCTTAATATCCGGACGTCGAGACGCATACAAGGAGGGAAAAACCTAGGAGTGTTAAGATCTGTAGGGAGAACAGGAAGAGAGATGTACCGTGATTCAACGTCTAAGTCTGGGGGTCATTTGCAGATGTCTAGCTCCAATCTACTAGCACTTTCACAGGTCTTTCCTTCCATACGCAGGCTTGCATCGAATTGTAACTTCATCCGTCGTGAGTTTGGTACTAAAGGCAGGAGAGGGTTCACGAATAGTACCCTTGTAAACTTAATTTTGAGGGTTGTGCGTGTTTTACCATCAGCAGCTGATATTCTTTTGAAGTTAAAAACTGGGACTTGAGAGACGTGGGATGTTGACACGTTGAGTTGATTGTTTACCTGGAAATCAGGAAGCGAGGCGTGCTGCTAGCAAGGCCATGGACGTCCCTCGCGTCGAAGATAGGGTGAATAAGGCTGTGGCAGCGGCTAACCGATGTGCCAATGCCGCTCGAGTATCTGCGGTGAAGGCTGTTCAAAAGCGCAACTCAACACCGCCATCCGAGGATATTGTGTGAAGATTGTGTGCCACGCCACTAGATTGTTATTTTACATGTACCATACAACGTATTTTCGAGTGATAGCACTCCTTGGTGGAGCAGAACACAATGGCTGCTCTCTAGGGAAAGGAAACTCAAACGACGTTACCCACTCTCCATCCGCCTGCTGCAGAAAGTGATGCTTGGGGTGCCGTTCAGCTTGTTGAACGTGCACCTCAAGTGATTCAGCGACATGAGCGACAATTGTGAACACCTGCCTTCTGGAAGAGAAGAAAGCAGAAGAAGAGATGTTGAGTTCACTGAAAGACATCAACTGGTAGTTGTTCGAAAGAGTCTTTCCTGACCCCAAGAGAAGCGATAGGATCGGATCGCCAGGGCATTGAAAGCAATGCTGACTGTACGAGACTTGCAGATTCAGTAGGAGAGGAAGGACACAATCACGGCTTGTCAATCACAGCAAATGAGAGGTTAGAAAAGTGGACACAACCACTTGTCAACGAAAGGAGCAAACGAGAGGTCAGTTGAAGCAGCGGAAAACCACTTGAGTGAGAGCACAAGTGGAAGCATGTCATCTGTGTTCAGTAATGCCGAAGGTACTACTGAACTGAGACTGGGCGAGTAGCGAGGTTGAAGAGAAGGAAACAATGACATCGGAGGAACAAAAGAGGATGACTTTTGCGAATGTATTGTGGCCTTGATTTTGCCGGATGATGTTGATCGTGCCTGCCATCACCCCGATGGCATCTGAAGCAGCAGGGATAAAACAGCAACTTTGAAGCAGCTTAGCAAGCTAGCTTGTTTGTACACTTTTAAGAGATGATGATGATAGGAAAGGGTTCATCGTCCTTTTGTACTGTATATACAAGTCCCCTCTTGCCTGGGGGAAAGGACAATTTCACTGTCCCCCCGCCCAAATCCCCTTCCCATCTTTTACCTTTCCTTTTCTTTCCCTTCCCTTCCGTTCCGAAATGCTTGGAAGGACCGGTAGCCTTTGTGATATACAAAAGAGAAGAGGAAAAAGCTGCTTGGCTTTTTTTTTTAGCGTATAACACATCAACAAATACGAACCCAACTAAGACCCGAATGGCCCTCACACTTCAAACTTCTTACTGAGATCCCGTATATTGTAGTACAGCTAAGTAGTATAGTCAAATCTAGGAATTCTTTTCCTACGGTAACCTTCTGGACTGCACTTCATTGATGCAATGGGCGATCGCTGTTCGATTCGACGATTGCACAAGAAATATCAATCTATATCTACTTATAGATAATTATGATTTCAAACTCTCGTTACAGATGTTTTAATTATTGAGGTAATTGGTGGGGTTCCTTCATCATTTTATAAGCGCTTGTCTTGTGTGGTGAGCTTTGAGAATTTCGCTGCACGATTTTCTGCTTCACGCTGGAGACTTTGACGGAATGTCCATGTGGTCCCACAAGACTGTTAAAAGGCGAAACAGACCCTGCTTCTGATCACGTGGAAAGCAGGCTAAACATTGTAGCAGTGGAGGACATGCTTTCAGTTCCTTTCCTGGAAACATGCTTCACGCGTGGGGATCCGCTCGATGACCCGGGCTTGGTAGAACTTGAACCCAGTTATGAGCCCGGTTTTCTGCGAGGAAATCGAAGCCGAGGAAAGTGGTCCTTCCGATGTGTACGAGTGCGCCGTCGGCCAAGTGTCCATCGGACCAGTCGAGAGCTTTCGACGTCTAATTGCAGTCTCGAGGCTCCCCAAACCCGAAGACGTGCATGGCAGTTTGTCAGAGAATTCACTTTCACATTGCCGATCCTCTTCATCATGCGCCACAGGAACACGCCGTCCCGCCAAATCTCATACGCGCGGGAAAGAACCTGTGTTCCAGTGTCTCGAATCACCGCCTCTGTATAGGCTCCTATCGTTGTCTCTGTTCTAGAAGTCCCATGCTTTCCTGCTTGTGCAACGCAGTTCTCAACCATTCCACGGGCGGTCGTTGCCCCTTAAGGCTAAATGGGAGCTCTCGCAGGTCCTTCCTGCTTTAGAGTGCACGGTCTTCGGTGACAGCTAAAGCTTGTCATGGGCACACTTATCATCTCCCTTATCGTCTAATTCAAGGCGACTTATTCTTGTCACGAGGCACAATTCGAAACAACTTGTCGTCGCGGTGGTGAGCTACGGCGTTCTTTAAGACTAGATTCTAGTTTATTCTTCTGATGGTGTTGATACTTCAAGTCAATTTTGTTCTGAAATGCAAATTCTAAATTACTCTTGATCAAAGATTTAACTTATAAATAACTAAAAATGATTCAAGAGAAAGTATCAATTAAATATCAACTATCGATTCAAATCAATGAACATTTTACTTCCACTCGAGTGTGTCAAGTATGTGTTATTAAAAAAACATCAAATTCAATTAATCTATCATTTTGAAATAATAAGAGTAATTAATCATAAGTAATATGTAAGCCGGTCAACATCCAGCTGTAAATTTCATATTACATCATCAAAATTTCTAATTCAGAGGTATAATTAACACAAGGTTTTCAGATTTTGTAAAATTAAATCTTCAATTTACTTCAAATATTATTTTTAATATATCAATATATGATTATTATCTGATTATGTTTAAATTTATTATTATTCATTACAATCAATGAAATTTTGTATACATAGGGATTAACAACATAACATTTTATTGTAAAATCAATCAAACTATATGAATACAAATTTAATATTTTCATTTAATATCAATAGGTTTATCATACGTAGTTGGTTAAATTTATTTGAATTGTCACTAAATTTACATAATAACAAAAGTCTAGATTTCAACTTCATATAAAATAGCTGATTTAAGATATGTATAACACATCATATGTCAATCACATTAATGTCAATACATCTCCATGTGTACTTTTGACATGAAAGACAATTTGTATTCATATTTTATTGCGTATTATGTTTTTTTTTTGAAATGTTAATTGTTGGAGATTCATCTCTTGGACAAAACATAGATCAAAATTTAGTAGATAGTTCAAACCAAAACGGAAAGAAGCTGGCAGTAGATTTAGAATTCATGAATAGTTGAGAACTAGTGTTGACGAGAGTGGAGTATAATGGTGGTGATGGTGCCAAATTGTTTAGATGATCATTATAGGTAATACATCATAATGAAATTATATATTTTTTTGGAGCAATCTTTACTTTAGTTCTAACTAATTATATTATGACAATAAAGCAATATACATCAAAATGACTAATAAGATGCAAGTAATAAGCTCAAATGAATGGAGTATTTTTCTCTTATCATTTATTTCTTCTTCAAGATTTTGAAAATTAAATACAAGATCATCAAAATATCAATATCTTTTATCTTGAAGTTCAATGATTTCAAGAAAATATACATCGTGTTTGACAACTCATTGCAATGAAACCATCGCTCAATTATTATTAATTAGAGCAACAAGCAATTGCTATCATAAAATAAAGAAATAAAATTTTTATATTCAATCATTTGCTTTAAAATCAAAGGTTGAAAATGCATATAACAATATTTATATGAGTCGTTTTTGATGTTGTTGTAAATGGAAAATTCTAAGCTCAACATCTTGCTTAGATACATAGTCTTCAATTTGCTTTTCATTTGTCTCTCTTAGAGTTAATAATCATCATGTTTATTGTATTATATTATTTCATTTTTTACCTTTTTAAATTTCATGAACGCCATCTTCATTTATCAAACATTTCATAATGTACTTTGTGAAAATGATTCTTTTTTTTCATTCAATTATAGCTTTCTCAATTTTTTTGATTTACTTCAAACTTTATCATGGTTTCTTTGATTTGATTCTCATCGTACTCAAGGATTGAACACTACAAAATGCGTCTCAATAAGATCTTGATATAACTAGATTCTAAGTAGGTTCATTCATTCACAGCTCATGCCACACTCTTAAATGTATCATTTATAACTTCACATGAGACTAACTTTCTAGCTTAAGAAATACAGAAGTCGTGGAATGTGGTGGTACAATTTTTTTGTTTTTTCGGAAATAAAGCATTTTTTGAATAATAAATGCCGTGGTAGTAATGATAAGAATTGGTAGAAAAGAAGAAGTAAATAAGAAACGACAGTGTGTAGGAAGGAAGAGCTTCCTCCGAAGGCAGGAAGGGTGCCTTTGGCGGAGACGGTTTAGGCTTTAGGGCTTTGCTCCGAAGGCCTTACTTCGGCCTTCGTCGCTGGCACCTTCGGCGGAAGTGTCTTCGGCGGTACGCGGAAGAAGATTTCCTCCGGAAGAAGTCGGAGTTATTATGAATGTCGATGTACGAGTGTGGGAATCTGCGCGACGGCGGGACGTGAAGTCGCGCGTGGGAAGCAGACCGTTATCCATCAATCGCGAAAACGGCATTCAAGTGGCCCGTTGCCGAGTCCGAATATCGATCTTGACGATTCTTGATGGACAGAGAGGGAGTACACTTGCGCATTATCGATTTCATGTCTACTCGAATCATCGACGCGCAGTGACAACAATAACAAGTAGCGATCATGAAGAATTCGATGGGCAAGTCTGCGATTATGATGATGATACCGCTGCGGGTGCCGCAAATCGGATTGCGTGCGTTTCAGGACGAATTGCAGGAAGTGAAACTCAATTTCCTCTTGTGGGGATGAAATTGGATATGTCCTGCGATGGTCAAGGAATGGCAACGCAAGAAGGGGCAGAACTCGAGAGCATATCGACCGCACTCGGAGAGATGGCAAGTTAGCGACTGGGAGCAAGTTTTGGGATGATGCGCGGGTCCGAGGGTGAACTCTTGTTCGATAGCGAGAGTGTTCAGCTCGCGAAAGAATAAGAGTCGACATTCGACGCTCTTTTCAAGAATTGATGCTCGCGTAAGAATGGGTATAGGACCCGTGATTACATCGATCGGAAACGGCGGAATGTCGCGATGGCGATTATTCAGATTCTGCAGCCACATAGAACTTCATATATGACATCTTGGCAAGTGGGATTTGTGGAGCTGGCGCTGGCGGGTACGCCAATTCACTGGGCTCGTATTTTGTGGAAGGCAACCCGGCAGCATGTGGGTGAGGAGAAGGGGGGATCGGTTAATCACATATATCTGTTCTTGATTAATTTCTATCGATCGATGGGATGTCTGACGGCGGAGGAAAAGAAACAATTTCCCTTATTGTCTCGGATGAATCCGAGGAAGTTTGTGAAGGACGTTGAGGTTGATACAGACCACGACAAAGTTCCCGCAATCACACCGCCGGATCGACCAAGAGCAGAGGAAGAGCGACGAGTTGCGCGAACACCAAGGAAGTGGAAGTTTTGCGAAATGGACGAAGTGAGACGACGAGAATCGCTCGGTGTCCCAGTAGTGAGGCGTCAGGCAACCAACGAGCAATCCCGACCCAAGCAGAAGGCTCGCAAGTTGATTCTGACCGTAGGCAGTAGCGCTGATACGAGACGAACTGCAATTGCCGAGGGATTGCCTTCGTCGGAGGACGAGGATGGGGGTACAGAAGTTCTTGGAAGGCTGATTGAACTTCCTGCGCCGAAGGCACATGTGCCTTCGGAGGAAGAACTTAGACCTTCGGACCAGAGAGATAGGCTTGCGGCGACGGCAAGAGTGACTCCGCCAGAGACGTTCTTGCCTTCGGAGGAGGTGCCTTCGATGCAGAGACCCTCAGAAAACATCCCTACGCATGAGGGCAGGGAGGACGAAGACATGAATGCAGGGACACGTGTGTCTTTTGCAGAAGGAGTGAACGAGCTGCCTTTGGCGGAATTAGAGTGGGAGGACTTAGCACGATCAACTGGGGTAGGTTCTCCAACTCCGCTGGCGAATGTTAGCGGGACATGGAGTGGAGGCCGTGGAAGAGGAGGCTGCGAGGCCCAGCGCTAGGGAATCATCCAGGATTTCGGTAGCGACAGAGATCCTGAAGTCAAAAGAGGAGACGCCTTCGGAGGAAGAAGAGGTGCAGTCGATGCGAGTATCGTCGACCAGAGTGCTGTGTGAGCAAGTGGTACTGCTACTCCGGTACCTTGATCGTAAAGTGACCCAGTACGGGAATCCCCGCTAGGGTGGATCTTTAATCGAGCTAGTCCAAAAATCGGACGCGAACCAAAGTGGCGGCGAATCCTGCAGTGATTGCCCAAGACCAGAAGTACCGGAATTTGGAGGAGCGTTACAACTTTCTCCAGGATCAATGGGCCTTAACACGGAAACTGCAGAAGGCGGCGCTTAAGCTGCGAGACGAGATGGTGGAGCGTGCTCGGCGCAAACTTAATGAGCTTCGTGCGAAGGTCCAGACGGACTTAAG